GGGGGGGGCGCGGCAAACGAGCATAAGGACACTGGTTAGGTAATATATCTCCAACATATACATATATGTAGTTGAAAAACATCCAAGAAACATTATTTTATTCCAATTTCATTTTGAATCATTGCTACTATGTCGGCTCAAGTGAAAACGCTGAATGGCGTGGCTTTGGTAACAGGCGCAGGTTCGTAACGAAGTTACCGCAATGAAAGGGACGACTACTTATTATAACAGGATCTGGAATCGGGCGTGAACTATGTCTCGCCTATGCCCAGGCAGGATGCAGGGCTATTGTACTGGCCGACATCAAAATTGAGGGCATTGACGAAACAATTTCGTTGATAAAAGCCCGAGGATATACGGTACAGACACTTGCATTAGAGACAAATGTTACAGATGTCGTGTCTGTGAAACGCATGGTCTCAGACACTGTCAGCACATTTGGAAGCCTGGATTATGGTTTGTCTCTCAAGTCTACTGATGGTCAATAATAACACTGGGAATGCAGCTGCCAACGTCGCCGGAATCACAACAACCGCTCGCGTACCAACCGCCCAGTACCCCCACGAAGAATACGATAAGATCCTTGAAATCAACACAAAGGGCATTTTGATCTGTATGCAGGAACAGATACAGGTGATGCAAAAGCAGAACCCTACCTGCACCCCGGGAATCGACAACCCACTTCGAGCACAGAGAGGAAGTATTGTCAATATTGCCTCCATCACTGGATTTGCTGCCTTGCAAAATATGATGCCATACAACGTCTCAAAGCATGCTGTCATCGGTCTCACAAAATCTGCAGCTATTGACCATGCCCCGCAAGAGATTCGTATCAACGCCGTGTGTCCAGGTATGACTGAGACACCCATGGTTGCGGCTAGGAAGACTTCTACTGTACCGGGAAAGTCCAGGGGATGGGCTGTGGAGGGAAATGGAAGGCAGAGACTCGCTATACCCGAGGAAATTGCTGATGTGTGTATATTCTTAAGTGGCTGTGGTGCTAGCTATATGTCTGGGTCATCGGTTACAGTCGATGCGGGACACCTGGCGGCATTGCGATATGACCGCAGCTCGTGTTAAGAAATATAAAGCGTCTTTCAATCGTATACTTTTCGATCATTTAAATAATTCTTGTTAATTGGCCGTTATTTTGCCAATGAATTGGAAAAGTTCTGGGCCCGGGTCTGACGTAGCAATTTCCCCAGTGGCCCTATGTACCGCTCGGACTAATGCGCCAACTGTACTCCGTACTCCATAGTACAGGCAGATACGGACGGATACGGCGGTCGTTAACGCCACTAGGGGAAAAAAATCAATTTTTTTCCGTCATAATTCTAAGCTATCTACTTTCTATTTAAAGGCAAGATAATATAAGAGGGGGCTAACGACTTTGTTCTTTCAGTGTATCTTAGTTAACCTCTTCCTAGAAATTTTGATGAAGGTCTTTCTAGACGACTTTTTACCCCCTTTCTAAAACACTATTCAAGCAACGCTTGAAATACACCTGAGACAAGAAATATCCTCTTTTCTAAGAGTATTAAATTGACTCCGTGGTCAGGGTCGAAGCAGACAGGGCAGATAATGATATAGAAAATCGGTAGGGGAAGAATAGGTATGCCTAAGGGTGTTATTTCCCTCGTGGCACTAATCACCGTCGTAGGTTTGTTTTGAAGTTCCGAAATTTCTATTTGTCTATGTAGGTCTATCTGTATATTCTGGTAGCGTCCCCTGGTGAGTCCACTTCTAGTGGACCTGGGAATGCGCACTGTAGCAATGAACGTGGTGCCAGCCCGGTTCACTACAGTGTAGCTATTCTGTCCATTTCAGCCCCCTTCTCTGCAACTATATCTGACTCCTGGCCCCTGGGTACCCTTTTTCTCTCTTGGATTGTGTTCTCCGTTAATTTCTGCATGTGTTCATTCGACTCAGCAGCATATTTGCACCGCTGACGGACGGAGGCACCATATTTGTAGAACAGAAATGGGAATGGCATGCAGAGCACCGACAAGAAGGCTGGGATCGACGGAGCCCAGTGAACGCCAATTCCGTCATACATCCATGTGGCAATGATAGGAAAGATGGCCCCAAATATCGACCGTAACACGGTATTAGCCGCCAGCACGGACGCAGCATAAATGGTGTAAGAGTCGATGAGATAGTTCATGATTCCGAGGTAGATCAAAATCACACCAAATCCAAACGGAGCCGTGCCGATTATGCAGACCGACCAATGGATGGAGGGATAATTTGTCCATGCGAACCAAAATTGGCTAATGGGAATTGCCAACGCGCCAGGCATGCACTGGATAAGTCTTGTCTCTGGAGGTGCATATCCTTCATGAAGATGCTGGACCTTCATATAGTGAAAGTTGGCAGGAATTGTGCAAATAATACCGATAATCATACCAACCATAACTCCAAGGAATGCTAACCCGCCCACGCCAGGGTTCCATCCGCGGATATCCTCAAACACGATAGGAAATGCAGCAAAGAGCATGTATAGCGTTCCGTAAACGATGGCGACATACGTCGCAGAGAGCATAACGATAGGCTCCTTAAATAATAATACTAGTGGCCTGGATAGAGATCTTCTAAGCAGTACACTTAATGGCAGTTGGCTTTTCTGCAAGGCGATTTTGCTTCGATAAACTTTGCCCAAGATCTCCGAGAGACGTTCTGCTCGTCGAATCAGAAGAACGGGCGCATATGTTTCTGGGATCAGGAGTGTCGTCAAGACCCAAACAAAGCCAGAAGTAGCGGCGAGGAAACCCTCCACCCATCTCCAACCTGCCTTCATACCAAGGAAGCCACCAATGATAGGGCCTATTGATGGGCCAAGGAATGGGGCGGCGGCATATAAGCTTAGGGCAAGCCCTCGTTGTCTGGCTGTAAACAAGTCCGAGATAGTCCCTCCAGCGTTACTCAGCGGCGCTGAGCCGAAAGAGCCAGCAAAGAAACGAAGGATACATAGCGACCAAATGTTTGGAGCTGCTGCACAGCCAGCCAGAAATGCGGCCATGCCAATTAAGCTGATAAAAAATGAAATCTGGCGACCGCATACTTCGCTCAAAGGAGCCCAAAATAACGGACCAATCGCAAAGCCCAGGACATACAACGATAAGCCGAGTGTTGCGACTGGCCTGGAGACATTGAAATCGGCAATAATTTCATCGAGACTTCCGCTGTACGCAGAGGATGCTAAGGAGACGATCAGAGTCGAAGATGCGGCCACAAGCATGATGCATACTTTTCTGGGAAAGCTGAATAAATGGGGATCCCGACAGTCGTCCGGGATCCAAGTCACCGCAAAGGGGTCTTCTTCGGTGCCCGATCCTGGATACTCGTGGTCGAGGACTGCTTGAGTAATGGCGCCCTGATCGACTAAGATACGCCAAGGCGAGATCTTCACAGGGTGAGTCTGAAGAACATGCCCAGTTCCTCCTAACATTCTGCTTACGAGGAGTAATGAGGGGGAATTTGAAAACAAGACTATACTACGATTATCGAATATGAATTAATTATGAATTTACTGCCGGGGCTGTTATTTTCTTACCCCTAGTAATCGTTATTCCGCGGAATTGTATTTTTCCTGGCACATTTGGGGGCCGGAATGGTGTTGCAGAGTTCGGCACCGCGGTAATTGGGCTTTCTGTTACCGTCATTTACAATGCATAGTATCAAGTTGTCTCGGAACTGCGGACCCAACAGCTTCATGTTCAGTTGGGCCGAAGCATTTATAAACATGCTCTATCTAGTGATTATTTTGAATCAATTTGAAGAATTAAATTTGTTTTGTCCTGTCGCCATATCCACCTATAGGCAAGATCAATTTTCATCATGCCCGACCAAGCGCAAGAAGATGCTCTCAAAGGATACAGGGAGATCCTACCGCCCAATGTTTCAGTGGGAGAAGCAACAGAGGCTTACAAAGAGGTAGATGACGTTGCATACGCCATTTCAAGATTACCTTTGGGTGCTCCTCGAGCATTGAAAGTGATCTGTGTTGGTGCGGGTTTCAGTGGCTTAGCATTTGCACGAGAGGTCGAACTAGGCAATCTGCCGAACGTGAGTCTCACGGTATACGAAAAGAACGCCTCTGTTGGAGGAACTTGGTACGAGAATCGTTATCCTGGGTATGTTATTTCTACCCCAATAAAACTGTCGATGGATTATGAGTGCTGACTTATGCAAAGATGCGCGTATGAAACTCTTCCCTACTATCTAGTAAATACTAACTAGGATTATAGCTGTGATATTCCCGTCCATAACTACCAGGTACAGCATGCATCTCTGCTTGGTATATTATCTCTTCTAACAAATTTCTAGTACTCCTGGGCCCCCTGTCCTTACTTCAAAAGCTACTATGCTACCGGGAAAGACATCCACACTTACATCGAAGCGGTCGCCGATCAACATAATCTTCGGAAATACGTTAAAGTCTCTCACAAAATCATCGGAGCTAAATGGATTGAAGAGCGCCAGAAATGGCAAGTGAACATTGTCGCAACCGACGGTAGAGAATTGATGGTCAGCAATCGGGTCAACAAGGATGGGGAAGCTGGAGAACCATTTACTGAAGAATGCGATGTGCTGATCAACGCCGGAGGCTGCTTCAATGACTGGAAATGGCCAACTATTCCTGGAAGGGAAACTTTCAAGGGTCAAATGATCCATTCTGCTGCTTGGCCTAAAATCGCCGAGCTCAAAGGCAAAACGGTTGCATTGATTGGCAATGGTAGCACGGGTGTCCAGATTCTTCCTAACATCCTTGATGATGTGGAAAAGGTCTATGTCTATATTCGCAGCAAAACATGGGTTACTGCCAGCTTTGCTCAGAAGTTTGCTGGTCCAAATGGTGCGAATGTCTTCTTTACGGAGGAACAAAAGAAGCATTGGGCCGAAAATCCCGATGAATATCTCCAGTATCGGAAGGAGGTCGAGTCAGAGCTAAATTCCCGTTTCCGCCTCTACCTCAAAGACTCCGATGCTCAAAAGGAGGCCCTCGAATATTCTATGTCTCAAATGACCGAAAAGCTTTCTTCGAAGCCAGAGATTGGCGAGAACTTGATTCCGGAATTCGCCGTTGGGTGAGTTGAGCTCCTGAATACACCCATGGACTTCTTTGGCTAACAGGATGACCACTACAGCTGTCGTCGCACGACACCAGGAAACGGCTATCTTGAGGCTCTCTGCTCCCCCAAGGTCGAAATAATTTGGGGAGGAATTGACTCTTTCAACGAAACCGGTCTTCTAGCGGCCAATGGTGCGCAACGAGATGTGGACACCATTATCTGCGCCACGGGTTTCAATATGTCTTTCTCCCCTCGCTTCCCTATCATAGGTCGCAACAACGTCAATCTACAGGAGAAATGGGATGATAACCCGGAGTGCTATCTGTCAGTCACTGCCGCCGATATGCCCAATTTCTTTATCTACCTTGGACCGGGCAGCCCCCTTGGACATGGTAGTGTGGTCAGCTCTCTCGAGCGCGTGACTGAGTACATTGTTCAATTTGTCCGCAAGCTTCAAACAGAGAATTATAGCTCCGTGGTGCCGAAGCCACACATCCCTCGTGCATATCAACGACAGGCTCTGGCCTGGCTAGACAAGACTGCCTGGAGTTCCAATTGTGCATCCACGTACAAGAATGGCAAGCCAGGCGGTCCTTTGATTTCTCTTCATCCGGGGTCAAGGTTGCACTATTTCGAGCTTCTGAAAAATCCTCGCTGGGAAGACTTTGACTGGTCCAGCTTGTGCGATGATGAGGATCTTACCTTTGCTTGGCTAGGTAATGGATTTATTGTCGAGGAGTGTAAGGAAAAGACTGAAGCGGATTTGACGTGAGTGCCTCAATATGAAATGATGAAATAAACAGTGTTGACTAAGACCAATACTTCAACAGTTGGTTCCTTTCTCCAGTTGAAGCTGCCAAGATGATCAAGGCAACATTTTGAAGGCACGATGTTCTTGGCCGATAGTGGTATACTGTGTCCAAGCTGAAGTGGAAGTATATTAAGTATATAGAATGTTTCCAATAGAATGTGGCAATTATTGAAATTTTGAATCCCAATAGATTTCTTTTGCTGAAGATGCTGGTACTCCGGACTCCTGAGGCCTCGACATTCATAGTCCTACTTGCTCAAGATATTTGGCTTCCTTCTTCCAAGGTTAGCTTTCTTATTTCAATATTCCTAGTGTTACCAATCGGATATCCTCATTTACCACACTTTGCGGAGTACTTCCGCTCGGCATATCTGGACCCTTTTGTCAAGTACGCGCTACCACTTACCCCACAATCTGCCATGGCTTGTTAGGCCTAGCCCAAGGGAAAAATCTTATTTTCTTTGAGCCCCACGTCGTTCCGAGCACCTTGTTCCGCGGAAGGATCGTAAGCCACAATCTGGGGAAATGCGGGGATACGATGGATCTGGCAAATGACACAAGGCTATCTCCCTCAGCCACTAGAAATCTCGGAAATATGGAATTCAGCAACCGTAGATCTCAAAAAAACAGCCTGGATATGCAGTCGTGAGTTTTTGAATTTAAGAAACTGATTTTCGTAGCCTGAAGGGCGACAATGAATTTACAAGTCATAGTCAAGTCAATCTATCAAATTATCAATCGAAACCATGCAGCTCAAGCAATTAGAACCCAGTGAAACCCTACAAAGTCGAGACGATCAATTCAACAAAAAGCAACATGTCAACGTATACACTGCCGCTGTTGTCCTCTTTATCACTCTGAGCTCTGCTGCTTATGGCTATGCAGGCTCTGTCATTGCAACTACACTCACTCAGCCATCCTTCATAACACATATGAAGCTGGACACAGCTCCGAATGCCGAGTCCATTGAAGGTGCAATGAATGCGCTGTTCTACACCGGAGGCGTGCTTGGAAGTTTCTTTGCAGGGTGGAGCAGCAAAAAATTTGGTCGCAAGTTCTCAACAGGTTTTGGAAATGCTCTGCTAGTCATTTCTGGGGCGTGTATGACAGCTTCGATCAACCCAGCCATGTTTATTGCCTTCCGCTTCGTGAGCGGTTTCGGGTATGCTACAGAAAGTACAAGTGAAATTGGTTCTTATTTTCCTGACTTTTTCTTCTTTTGGCTTCTAGCTCCATGGTCATTCTCGCCAGCGTCCCTATCTGGGTCGCTGAGCTAGTCCCACCCCGCCTCCGAGGATTCCTGACTGATGTGCATGCCGTTATGATGATGGTTGGCTATACACTTGCTTGCTACGTTGGTCTCGGATTTTACTTTGTCAAAGGCAGCAATCAGTGGCGCGGGCCTATCGCACTTCAGATGGCGCTACCTGTTATCATCTTGTCTGGTTTATACTGGATGCCCGAATCGCCGCGATACTTGTTGTCCACAGATCGCGTCGAAGAAGCCCGTCACATCATCTTCCGTATGCATTCTAGCCCAGATGACCCGGAGCATGAGTTTGCTCGCCGAGAATTCTTCCAGATGAAGAAACAGATCCGACTTGACGCTGAGTTCGCTACATCATATTGGAGTATTCTCAAAAAAAGCTCTATGCGGAAGCGCTTGGCAATGACCGTCTTTCTCGAGTTTGCTCTGATGAGCTCAGGTGTTTTGGTTATCCTCAGTAAGTCAAGCTCTTTTTCTCCCCCTGTTCTTCCAACTATGTTTCCGAGGTATGTCGCTGACATTCCAAGATTATGGCTCCATTATCTGGAAATCTCTCGGGTTTGACACGGTGCAGATCCTTAACTTCCAGTGCGGCTTTCAGCTGGCGGGGTTTGTCTTCAACGTCATCGCCATGACTTTCGTCGACCGCGTGCGCCGCCCTTGGCTTATTGCCGGTGGCCTTTTGGGCTGCGGCTCACTGGTCGGAATCTTAACTGCTCTGCAGAGTTTCTACCTTGGTACCGAGAATCGCGCAGGGTTAGGTGCCTGTGTCGCTATCATTTTTCTCTTCCAAGCCACCTTCTCACTCACCTTGGATGGGCCAACATATTTCTATATCGCTGAGATCTGGCCTTCACATGTCAGGTCCCAAGGATTTGCAATTGCTATGGCTGTCCTTTCAGCTACCAACCTAATGTGGCTGCAGGCTACCCCTTATGCCATAAGTACCATCTCATGGCGCTGGTATCTTGTATTCACATGCATTCCCGGTGCTGCGGCGGTGGTAGTCATTATTTGGTTCAAGGATACTCGGAATAAGCCTCTTGAGGAGATTGCGGGCATGTTTGGTGACGAGGATATGGTTGCTGTGTATCAGCGGGAGTTGAATATTGGTGAGCTGGATGATGCGGATGAGGTTGGAAATGACAACAAAAACTCAAACGGTCCGTCGGTTGAGATGGTGGAAGAGGCTTGACTCGACAGAGGCGTGACAACTTAGAAGCAGCAATTGGGAAAGGAAGTTAAATTTGAAATATTTCTATAAGGCGGGGTCGGTCTGGATCTAAATTATGTTGGTG